TTATCTAAAATGCCTATATTGGTTCTGTGCGGATATTTGTATTTTGTGAATCAGTTTTCCACCTATTAGTTTTTGCAAATGGTAATTTTAGCTCTTTCATAAGTCTTCATAAAAAAAAATTATTTTAAATTTTTTTTTTGTAAAAATTTGGAATTAAATCGAAATATGATATACCTACATCATATGATTTAGTACAGTGCGTATGATTATTGCGATTATAATAAGTACATTGTTTATTCATGAGCAATAATTTTAACCGATTAGTATTTCCTATTATGATTCATTTTAAGTGATGACAAATGTCGATTGGAATGATTGTAGTGCGTATATAAATGTCGGTCATATATTAATATATTAATTAAAATAAAATATAAAAGAGATGCTGGTATTAATCACCTGAAATCCACAGTCCAAGTTTACTGTTCCTTCTTTGCCACCATGATATATGTATTGGTGGTCGGATGGGCAAGTATCGTCTGGTGAATCTAATTTCTCATCTGACCCCAAACCTGGAATTATGTAAAAATATTAGATTAATTACTAATAGAATATTGGAATAGTATGGAAATACATAATTCAAGTTGGTAAATGTCTGGGTCTGGCAACTACAAGGTTGCATATTCAAATGCAGCCCTATATAACCATTTTATATGAAGTCTTGGGCATCATTCATTACTTATAAAAAAAACTTATACAATTGTTGCCAAGTTGAACAACTTGCTTCTAGCAAAGTTTGTAAGGATTTTCATGAGTGCAACAAATAAATAATGGCAATTTAACAATTTTGTCCATTGTCCATAAGTCAAACCCTAGATAAGTTTTTTTACTGTCTATATTTTCCATATGAGATGATTGAAATTGATTCTTCCAAATGGGTTGAATATTTTCCACTCTTCCATTTATAGTCATGTATACATGCGATGTAATTTAACAATGAAGAAGATGTTTTGCAAGGTCGTACATAGTACTATTCTGACGTAATCTGTTCAAATGAAAATGTGTTTTAATGTAAATGATTTGGTTATGTGTTAATTGAATGAAGTAAACAGTTGAGGTAGATTATTCTATGTTGAATTGTTGAAAATACTTTCACGAATTTCGTGTCATATGAGGAATAACGGTTTAGAAATTACTAATCAAGCTGGTAGAGCATTTTTTGTAAACCAACAAGTTGCTAATAGTACTTTGACATATTTTATGCCATTTGAGGTAAAAGGTTTTTACTATTGTCATATTGCATGAATTGCTGAAATGAATCGGTAGATATCATTAAAAATTACCGAAAATGTGCCCTCAACTTTTTACTTACCATTGATTCCTACCCTTCCTACAATTTATTAACTACCCATTGATGTAATGCCCAATCCCAAATTTAATGTTTAAAAATCTTAAAATATTCTGAAACGATATTCAAAATGATTTCCTTTTGCAATGCATGTAAATGCCTTTGGTAAATATTTGACTTCTCATAGATTTCTAGTCGGTACAAAGATTTATTTACAAATAAGTATGACGTACTTATCTTCAAACGAGCTCAATAAAATATTCACAATAAACAGAAACATAACCGTTTTAATATTTAAAAAAATATATACAATTTTTACATGTTTCCTCATTAATAATAATTAATTTTATTTTTTGATAAAATATAATTAACATACTTGTTGGTAATACACAAAATAATAAACAGAAAACCACTGCACTTGTCATTATTAGCTTTGTGTACTAACTGTTCTGGATTTGCAAATGATTGTTGCATAAACTTATCACATATTTATATTGTTTATAAATTGATTAATATAATTACTAAAGAGCATGCATATAAAATTTAAGCGGAATTATAACAAGAGCCATTAATAAATACATATGTATAAACAATAAATTGTTCCTATCTATAAACAATAAATTATTCCTACCTATAAACAATAAATAATTCATACCTATAAACAATAAATAATTCCTTAGCATGATCATTAGACTCTATTTTTTATTTAGAAAGGAAAATGTAAAACGAATCATAATAAAACTAGGTTTAATTGGTATTTGCCTAAAGGAAGTTTCATGAATCTCCTGATACGTGTAGATAATCGACTTAAAAAAAATTAAAATTCAGCTCTTTAGATAAAATTTTCAACCTTTTACTTCAGGATTTGAATTTTCCATTTTTATTTTGTGACGGTATTTGAATTTTCTACTAATAACGAAACGTCTCGGCCCATCTTTTTGGAAAACTAATTAACCCAAGTCCTTATCGAGTTTCCTCTCGATATATTAAATATTTGGCCTCAGACGATTCAGAATGACTCCTGAATTTCTAAACTAGTCCTAGTCCTTATCGAGTTTCATCGATAAGCTTTTAAATATTAGGTCTCAAACAATTCAGAATGACTCTTGAACTTCTAAACTTCTCCTTCGAGACTAAATAAAAAAAGTTGCAAATAAACATATGTTGCCATTATGTAACTCAACTTATGTTGTCTCATATATATCTTCTTTTGACTTCATATATTTTAAGAACACATATGAAATTCAATACAACAGTTGTGCATATGGTATTTAATACCATATCATAGAACATATGTGATATTTTGAAACACAAATGCATTTGCCTATCATTGGCTGCACAATTTGTAAATATTATTGTGAATTTAATTTGCATATCTTTTGTTTCAGGTTGCAGAACTGTTGGTGATATAAACAAATCATGCGTCGTCCATGAATCGTATTATAGTAAGCTTTAAAAATGGCTGTAAATATTATTTTTAAAAGTTGTACATATTTTTTATAGTGCATATTGTACTTATGATTAGCATCACGGTTTCTCAATGTAAGATATAAAATAATTTTAAATTGTAATGTTTTATAAAATATTATTATTTTATAAAAAATTACAATATCCAATAGAAATGAATACTATTTTAATTGCAATAGTAATGTTTTAATAAATTTAAACGCTATTTGTAAATCTATAGACCTTATAATACAGTATTATAAGGTCTATGTATGGGGCTAAAAATTCAAGTCAGAGTATGAATATTGAAGAAAATAATTGAAATTATATTAATATAAAACTACATTTAAGAGATTATTGTTACTTTATTATCAATCAAAAAAGCATTAAAGATTAGCATCAATATTATATTATATCAGTTACAGATTAGGAATTAAAATTATTTTTGCTATTTCAATATGTGGTTCATTGGATTTATATGTTTTATAATGTCTTTTAGTAACAAATTTCACAAGTTTTTCATTGATTATAATTGGTTTAGTACAAATATTTCAATATCAACTATTTTGTTCGAATTTATTTATCTTAAGTTGTATGAAAGTATGGTCCATTATGGGTCCATTATAGCATAAATTTTGTTTTTTTAATTGTCAAAAATAATATTTACAAATATGATATAATCTTTTGTGATAAATTAAAAAAAATACGACAATAAACTCTGACCCCGGTGCAGTTTTAATCTTTCTCACGCTCTGCGCTACATATCATCCATACTATAGCAACATACATGTATAATGGTTTAAATAAATATTTAAAATAGTTAATTAATTTAATAACACGAAATAAATTGTTAAAATAATTAGTATTATATCTACATTTATTTACTTATTCACATAAAT